TATAGTTTGTATTGTATTGAGAAGAGTTTTTGAAAGGCACATGTTGTAAAACATTGTCCATCATCTGTTTTAATGACAGCCTTACAAGGAAGTTCCTTTGTTTTGGCACCTGTAGACAGGAATCTTTCAAAAAGGAGATTCACGTCTTTGATTGTCAAATACAGCATCATAAGGTCAACACATTTTCCAGTTTTTGGTTTTATTGATAGAAAGCATTTTTCTTTTACTTCTGGCCCAGTCACCAGCTCTCTCTAATATCACCTTTTATCAAATATTTTTTATTATCTCTTATGTGAATGTGTGAATGCATGCATATATGTGCAATGTGTATTTGTGCCTGGTGCCTTTAGGATTCACATGCAGACATCTGATCCCGTGGAACTGAAGTTATGGTGGTTGTGAGCTTCCATGTGGGTGCTAGGAACCAAATCAAATTCTTTGTGAAAACTGTAAGTTCTCTCGTAGTACCATCTCTCCAGCCTCCCTCTAAAAGCACCATTACAATACATAGAGTGGATAGATGCATCATTTTTCATAGATTTTTGTATGTCTTAATTGGCTCAGAGCTCAAATGTGAAATTATATTTTGAGATCTTGTAATGATACAATCAATATAAAGCAAGATCATAGGGAGAAAAGGTGAACTGGACACGTATGTATGCATGTGTATTGCATGGAATCTGCCTTGATGCTGACAAGGAATGGAGAAAGAGAGCTAGGAGCCTAATGTAAGACCCGACCATGAGATGCAGAGCAGAACGCACACTTGCTCAGAGCAGACTGTTGTCAAGAGTTTTGAAGGAAGAGTACTTAGGCTGAGCAACTCTTTGCTACCCTTGCAAATGCACTAATCGGGTAAGAGATTGCCATGACGCAGAAGGCATAATATATAGAGAGGCAGGAATTGGTTCATGATTGAAGCATCTTTAAATGGATGAGCATATCAAGAATGGATACTGATAAGTTTTATTGGGATTGCTTTGAGTCTTTAGATTAGATTGGGGAAAATTAACATAAATAATCCAAGTATTCTGACCCATGAACAAGGTGTGCCTTCCAATTGACTGGATCTTTTTAGTATTGCAGCAAAATCTTGTAGTAGTTAATCTACATACATAACTGCTTGTAGATAGATTATCCAGATAGATGCATCATATTTTCTAGTGATTTTAAAATGACAGTATTTTAGAAATACAAAAACAAGCTATCATATTTCCCCCCAAAATTTTCAGTGACCATATACATAATGGTAGTTGTTTGGGGGAAAATGGTTAGAAGCACAGTTCTAGCTTGTACAGAGTACGTCTTGCCTAATACCCATTTTCCTGTATATCCATATTTGTTTTAAGAAGTCATTGAAAATATACAGAAACTAGGGATCAAAGTATCAATTTTTATCTGTTGTCGACCTATAGAAAAATAAGTTTTTGAGAAAATATGGTTCAGTATTATTTAATTCGTATACATGGTTCAAAATGTATCTGTTCAAAGGTATGTTTTCTAATTCTTCACCTTCCAATTAATTCACCATAATGCATTCGCAGAATCTTTGGTGGTGAGACAGAAGGGAAAATATATGTATGTGGAAATGTGTGATCATCTGAATGTATTGATATTTATGATACAGGAATACTTATCATGAGAAATACTTGAAATTAATTGAAACAGTCATGCCATTCTTACCCAGATCCTAACACATATTAGAAATAAGATTAGTGCCACTGTTGTTTTCCCAGCTCTCCTTGTGCAATCTGGTTACCATGACAACTCAGTGCCTTCTGTAGAAATTGGTGCCAACTATGCTTCCACTTATGATTTTTGCCTGAATCACTTATCACTATGATGCCATCATATATTCTTATTCTAATTATGATTTTCTTCTAAAATTATTGTTTGACATTTGAGATGTGGTAGAAATTTTTCCTGCCAATTTATTCATTTGCAATGTTTGACTCAATCTGACTTGAGTCACATTTTTCTCAGATGTTAACTCCTTCTATTAATACATACATATACAATATATATGCTAACATTTCCCACAATTTAGCCAATAAATTCCCCTACAAGATGGCATCAATATTAAGTTGATACCTTCCTTTCCAGAATTCCATGAGCACTTACGTTGCTGTCTAAAACTACCTTTGTATAAAGGGAATAATACCTATCTCAGAAGATAACTTTTAAAAATTGTCTAAAAATAGCAAAGTGCAGTGTACAGTATCTAGTCTACCCTTAACATATAGGATTTCCCTGCTCTTTGCCTCCTTTATTCAGTCAAAGCAATATCTCTGACACCAATATCATGAACTGACTACATAATAACCAGGGATAAGCCCACATATCTGTTAGGTGAGTCCTGGTTCCACTGTTCAGTGTGTAGGAAGAGTTGTAGGATGAAGCTGGGAAGAGGAGAAAGCATCATTGCACAATTTCACAGTGAACTGAGTCTGCCTTCCCTATCTGCATACTTTCATCTCTATTCTACATGCGTTCTTTCCTTCTCCCCTGTCTTTCTCTATAACATCTGAGAAGAGTGATTCATCTTCCCTGCAGAATCCGAGGTTCAGAGTGAAGACACAAGTCTGTTGTAGAGTTAGTTGGAAAGGTTCTCAGAGAGATTGTGTCTCCATCATGTGAACACTTTTAGTAAGACACTACTCTTCCACCAGTCTCCTCCACTCAAACAAGTAACAATTCTGAACATATCTGAAACACAAGAAATACTCTGGAATTGTGATCCTACATGGAAAAGCACCCTATCAGCCCCAGGTGGAGCGAAGGACCAGGGAGTTCTTTAGAGTAACTGTATCAGCAGATGGATGCTTCAGAACTCCTAGAAGTCAGCATTACATCAATAGTACATAAACTTGTACTGTTTAGGGCAGGCAAGAGGAAAATTCTGCTATCCAGATCAGGGGCTCATACAGAAGAAGCCAGTGAAGTGTCAACCCTGTGAGACACGTTAAAGGAGTAAGAGTGAAGACATCAGAGTTTTATCTTTAGGGCAGTGGGTAAACAACAACCCAGAACCAACCTCGTCCAAACAAAAGGATCGGAATACCAATCCTTCTAATGAGCAGGACTACTCTCTATACTTTAGCGATCCCAGGCGAAGAACCCTGCGTTCTCAGGTGGATTAAGTGACCAGGGCACTGGGATCAATTACATTAATAAAGACCTTCCAGTTGTCCCAGATCTCTGCATGCTACCATTAAATTATTTGGATTAAAACATTGATAAATGAAGTCAAGATTTTTCCAAGGTTGGAGGAATCTTTCACCAAAATGTTCTAGTCAACTTTTTGCCAACCTGTGCAGATCTTGTCTGCTGGACCTGGGATCTGAGGACCTGAAAGAATGGGGCAGACAGACTGCAGTCTAATGCTGTAGACAACCTCCCTTCAGTGTCGGTGCGCTTTTATACACAAAGGAAGCAGTGATCCCAGGATGGTTGTTTGAGATCAGAAAAACATATAAGTAAATGCCCTTATTAACAAAGCAGCCCTTTCCCAGAGCTTTCTCAGGACAGAACGATTGAAACACAATTGCCTGGCACATACTATAGATTATATCTGGGAAAGCACAAAAGCAAGGCAGAAGTCCATATCCAGATTCAGGGTACACTGACTAGATTGGGTTCTACAGCTGTGTTCTGACATCCAACAAAAATAAACATGTCTTATAAATTGAATGCAAATGTTTAACACGGAGGCCTGAAATCACATGCAAGAACAATCCAGGGAACAAAATGCACCCGAGGTAAAAGGCCCTCTGCCTTTTTCCTGGAGCCTCTCTCACAGTTCCCCCAACGCATTGTTCACCTTGCATCATTGTTATGAACAAGTTCAGACACTTCTGCTGGTGTCAGTAAACTTGAAGACATTTAGGTCTATTTCAAGCCTTCTGAACAAAAACCATGGACTTGGGCTGGGTAGTTTCCACCCGATTCTCATAATCATTGAGCTTTGAAATGCATTGATGCCTCTTTGCAACAAGATGGCTCAGTTTCTAAAATCACTTCGGTATTTCATTGTTCACAGTTGTAAAATTTCTATCTTATCTTGAGTGTCAGTAGTTCCTTCACTCTATTAATAATCGTCCAGTGATTTATATACGAAGCCCTGGATCTGTCATTGGAGTAGACTGGCAAAACTGTGTAAGGAAACAATTAACTGGGCAAGTTATGTGGGGATTTGTGTTTGAGGAAAATAAACACGGAAAACATCTTTTTAAAGTAAATTTTGATTTAAATTAAAAACCATCTTATTTTACATACCAATCTCAGTTCCCTCTCCCTATTGAACAGGGGATTATATGCAGACATGTCAGTGAAGGCCTTCCCTGGAATTGGCTTTAGAACCCAGTCCTGAATGATAAGAAGCCAGGCAGGGACTTGCTGTGCTTACACTGTGTGTGTGCTCCAGCTCACCCAGGAGCAGAGGACAAGCCCAGTGGCTGGAGCCTGGCAGACAACACAGGCTGATGGGGGGAGAGGTGGAAAGGGCAGATGCAGCCCAGACTCTGGGACACATGTTTGACACTGTGACTGCCCTTTGGGTGTGGAGGATCCCAGTAAGGGTGTGGGGGGGGGAGTGGTGACATGACCTGTAGGTGATGGCTGGTCTCTGTGCAGAGAATGGACTTCAGACAGACAGGATGGGCTAGGGGGAGGGGGGGAGTACAGCCATCTGAAGCCTGTTGCAGAAGGCCAGGGGAGGGACTAGGATGTATGGAAGCCATGATGCATCTCTGTGCCTAGGGAGGGGGTTCTCTGGACAGGGCTTTGGGTGCCAGATGGGACTTTCAGGGAGTGTGTCTGGGTGTGTGTGTGGAGGGGGAATGAGGTAGCTCAAGCACCCCGCCCACAGCCACCACCCCTGAGTGCACCCGGGCTTATTGAGCCTCACAGAGACGCCGAGCTGCTGTTTTCTATCAGATGCTCCAGGCGCCTTAGACTAGCGGCAGACAGTGGTTGTAGGGTTAACCAGTGACTTGGAGAAAAGAAAAGGCATCGTGGGCGGTGCGCGCTCCAGGGACGCGTGCGCGCGCGCCCAGCATTCCGCGCGAGCCAGAAGGCAGAGGGAACGCGAGCAGACTGCACGCCTGGCCCAGCGAGCGAGCCCCAGCCGGTGAGCGGGCGAGCGAGAGGGCGAGCGCCCGTGGAGCCCGCGTGGAGGGAGCCGCCGATTGAGCCCCAAGATGAACACCCTGCTGTCGCGGGCCAACTCGCTGTTCGCCTTCACGCTGAGCGTCATGGCGGCGCTCACCTTGGGCTGCATCCTCACCACCGCCTTCAAAGACAGGAGCGCGCCAGTGCGCCTGCACGTCTCCAGGATCCTGCTCAAAAAAGTGGAAGACTTCACTGGACCCCGGAAAAAAAGCGACCTGGGCTTCATCACGTTCCACATCTCGGCCGATCTGGAGAAGACTTTCGACTGGAACGTCAAGCAGCTCTTCCTCTACCTCTCTGCAGAATACTCCACCAAAAGCAACGCCGTGAACCAGGTGGTCCTCTGGGACAAGATCCTTCTGCGAGGCGAGAACCCCAAGCTGGATCTGAAAGATGTCAAAAGCAAGTATTTTTTCTTTGACGACGGACACGGTCTCAAGGGAAACAGGAATGTCACTTTGACTCTGTCCTGGCAAGTTATACCGATTGCTGGCATTCTGCCTCTTGTGACTGGATCCGGACGCGTGTCTGTCCCGTTTCCAGATTCTTATGAAATAGCCACGGCTTTCTGAAGAACTCTCTCTGCGTCTGAATAGGGACATCTGTGTGCTTAAGGAATCATAGTTTAAAAAAAGTGTTCAGAATCGGAAGGAAATCGTGTTATAATAACCCGTTTCTTTGTGTGTGGCCTCCCTGCATGTTCATATTTAGAAGCAGACTTTTGTTCATCTCTTTGTAAAGCATGCTTGATTCCTGAAAAAACAGCTAATATGATTATTTGTTAAATGTTGTAAGTGGTGGCAATAAGGTGACTAACAACTTTTTCTGAAGTGAATATATCTTTAATCTGTAAATCATTGTCACATTTAATGGCTATTTGTCTAGGAATTATACGTGTTTCCAGGCTTTCCCTACAAAGCTTTTCACGCTTTACATCTTTTTAAAAATAATGTTTTATGTTGTTATTGAAAGTTGAAAATGTTTGCATGACTTCCCAATGAATGAAGCTTGGTTCAGTGTGTATACTTACTATCGCTAGGTGCTAATTATGTACAATTCTCGGAAAGTCTCCATTTGAATAATTTTTGGAGTAATAATAATACTCATAGTTTGGTTTTCCATTTACAGACTCTCTTATATGTTATTGTATTCTATGGACAATAATCTAGTGATGTATATAATACAAACATAGGCTCTTTGCAGATGAAGAATGTGAAACACTGATGATGGGGAATCCATGCTTAAACAGCTAGCAAAGAATGGAGTTAAACTTTGATCTTGGGTATTCTGATTCCCTGAGTTTATTCCATCTCTTATGCCTGAGATGAACTTGTAGTACAATTTTGTTTATAATTAATGTTGTGTTTGTGTAACCCTGAAACCTTTTGTCTTGATATCTCTGATATTACACAAAAGTAGCCTGTGCTCAAGTTGTTTAAAAACACTGCTATAGAAATTATATTTCATTTCACTCTCTTTGTGTTTGTTTTCATTATAATAGAAGTATTAAAAAGTCCAGATATACCCAAAAGAAGTTAGATATTATACATATAAAAGAACATGATTAAATATATGGCTTGATATTTTTTCTGTTGTGGGAAGATCAATAATCTTCAAGATGGCATTTTCAGGGCAGCTTTAAGGGGAAGAGAGGGTTGGGAAGGATTATATGAAAGCAAAAGGGAGAGTACCATAATTTAAGCAAGGACAAATGCTATAATTTCACCATCTGTGATGATATATTTTTTGTCTCAAGAATAGTGCACACTGATGCAAACACTATGGAAATCAGTATGGAGACTTCTCAAAACATGAAAATTTAACTGCTCTCTGACCCAGCTATACCATTCCTGGGCATATACCCAAAGGACTTTATATCCTACCACAGGGACACTTGCACATTCCTGTTTATTGCTGCTCTTTTGGAATTAGCAGGAAATGGAGTCAGCCTAGATGTCCATTGAGAAATATGAAAATGTGGCACATATATGCAATTTAACTCATTCAACCGTAAAAACTTGAGATTTTCAGGAAACTAGATGGGATCAAAATATATTAGTGAAGCATCACAGGCTCAAATATTGTATGTTTTCTTGTGGCTCAATAAGGATATGAAGTTCTTTGGGCATATGCCCGAGGGAGATCTTAGCTTCTAAGTTTTACATGTGTGTGTTTGGGGGGGGGGATAAGTGTATGTGGTTGCCAAGTGGCCAGAAAGGGATCCATGAATGAGTAAACAGAGGCTTTAAAAAGGGGAAGTGAGTTCCCAGCTGATGGAAGCAGAAGTAGAAGCAGAAATTCACAGCTAAACACTGAACTGAACTCCTGGAATCCAGTTGTAGAGAGGAAGGACTGACGACCGAAGGGGTAAAGACCAAGCACAGAAACAGCTGAGCTGAGCAAGTGGGAGCTCAGGAACCCCAGTCTGACAGCTGTGGAACCAGCACAAGACAGAACCAGGCCCCCTGAACGTGGGTGTCAGGTAGGAGGCCTGGGCAGTCTGTGGAGCCTCTGGCAGTGGATCAGTATTTATCCCTAGTGCACGAATGGACTTTGGGAGCCCACTCCACATAGAGGGATACTCTCTCAGCCTAGACACATGGGGGAGGGCCTAGACCTTGCTCCAAATGATGTGACAGACTTTGAAGATCCCCCATGGAAGGCCTCACCCTCCTTGGGGAGTGGATGGGAGATTGGATGAGGGGTTGGTGGAAGGCATTCGAGGATGGGAGGGACAGGGAACTGGGATTGGTATGTAAAATAAGGTTGTTTCTAATTTAAATAAAAAATTAACAAAAAAGAGGGGTGGGCACAGTAACAAAACATGTGTGATGTGAAATAGAATGGAGAGTACTAAAGGTGGGAGGGTTTAGACAGGGTAGGGGGACAGGACAATAGGGGAGATGAAAGGATAGGAGGAGAGTCAACCACAACTAAGTATGTATGAAAATGAAGTAAGGAAATGTTATTTTGTAAGACGATTAAAAATAAAATAATAATGTTATTACATTTATTTCATATGTTCCAACAAATGTGTATGTAGGTGTACAGTCCACAGAGAAGTATTAGAGACTGAATTTTTCCAACTAGCTTCTGGACTTTGGCTTCTGGTTTTTGCATTTAACATTTCAGGGTGTTCACTTGTTTATTGATAAAAAGAAAGAAAAATGGGACAAGTTAACATAAATGGTGCCTTTTGTTTAGCTTATTCACAGAAGCTTGAGCAGGAAAGCACCTTAGTGACAAGCAAGTGACAAGCAAGGACACCACATAATTCATCTAATTCTAATTTATAGTATATATAAACAAGAACATTTAATTCCAATAGCTCTACACTGGCACTAGACACACAAATGTTAAAATCTGCAGTTACCTAATCTTCTATGTTGGGTGTTTCCCTCGAGGAAAACATGCACAAGAAGCCTGCACTCTTAACCAGACCCTGATAGCAGTTTCCTGTGCGCTGCTGTAATGAGTGGATCTGTTTAATTTGATAGAGATGAATGTTGAAATGTACTGTAGTTATATTTTTGACAAGTCCATGGTTTTAGAGTTTGGTGAGGAAGAGAAGTAAAAGGCTCCAACTATTATAACATCGAAAGAGCAACAGGAATATGTCTGGGGGCTAGCTGGTCAGTTAGTCAGGCCCATTCTGGGAGCTACAGGGTCACTGAGAGATGCTTAGTGGAAACAAAAAAGACACAGAACATCAACCTCTGGCCCCCACATGCTGATCCAGCCCCATATATGTGCACACATGTGCATGAATAAACAACACACAAAGATTAAAAATACTTGTTACAAGTTTTGAGACATATTTTGACATTGCTTTCTTCATAAATATATATTAATATGAATATACTAAATATATTTGAGAAATGTCATAACTGCTATAAATATCCAGCATTTTTAATGAAACTGAAAACTGATTAGCTGACAAAAGGGCTATATCAGGTCTCATAGGCTTTTTTTTTACCATCCAGTTTGGCAAGTCCACTGATGTTATCTTTGTTCAATTCACACTTGGACAGACATGTTGCTGAGATTTCATGGGTATAGCTTATGATCTTACTAGGAGATACAATCTCACAGAAAACTCTGATTCTCTGGCTCTTACAATCTTTCCAAACCTGTTTCAGTAACGTTCCCTGAGTCATAGGTGTGGGACTGTTCTGCATTTATCTGTAGATGATATATTGGAGAAGGAAGGAGGTGGGTAAAATAACAATAAAGATGTCAGAAAATTTCAGAAGGAATTATACTATTAACCATTTACCTAAAAATTCCTGTAATGCGTGTAATTCATTGTATTAATATACATATAATTTATCTTATTTGTGCTGATAGTGCTCCCTCCAAGAGCCTAAGACCCCCTAACAAAACCCCAGCACCCGACATGAGAAGTCATCTTTTGAGTTGTTGGCCAGGGCTGTAAAAGAGACTTAAAGAACATGCAGCCTATTGCTGTTGCCCCTGATTAGCCCCCAGAGGTGGAAGGTAAGTCTGTATTGCTGAAGATAACATGCACTTCAGAAACAGGGCCCAGAGACTTTTGCGCTGGAATTGACATGAATACTCCCTTCCTGGGGACTCCTTTCATAGTACCAGATAGTTCCATGAAAGTTTCCAAAACGGGGAGACAACTAACAGTCCTACCTGGCTACGATGTCTATGAACCACATCATTGACTAGTATGGCACAATAACAAACACTATGGGTGCAGTAGCGACACATATATTGCTGGTTACTTACAGCTCTCTAATTGAACTTAAGAAGCTCTCAACAGGAGAGGGAACTGGGATTGACATGTAAAACAAGCTATTTAAAATTAAAATAAAAAAAATCTCTCAACAGCCTGATATTGGAAACATAGCTAACTAATCAGTGCTAGTGAACTCATGGTTATTGGAGGAGGGTATGCAACCACTACTATACTAAGCCAGCATAATCTATAACAATAATCTATTAATATTTGTCCTTATACAGATAAGTGTAATCCTTGCCCTTTGTCAAAGAAACTTCTCTTTGCAACAAAAGGAGAGCACTACAGAAAAGTAGAAGCAATCAAAATATGTAGTGGTGGGGCCAGAACCCATTAATATTTCCATGTCCTTATTTATGTGGGTAGCCAGCAGAAGGTATGGCCCAGATTTGTGTGGGACTTTCCACCTCAAATGATGCAGTGAGAAAAATCTCTCATAAAAGTGACCAGCTGCTTATAGATTTTAGTTGATTCCAGACAACCAAGACTAGCTACCACAGTAATCTTTTTACAAAAAGAACAAAACTGGAACTACCTGATTTCAAAATATATTACAAACCAGTAGAATCTAAAATGTAATGATAGTGTCATTAAAAAAACAAACTACTAACACACACACACACACACACACACACACACACACACACACACACACAAACCCAGCAGGATATGGTAGAGAAGTCAGAAAAGCGTTACCTTCAGCTACTTTTATTCATAAAATTTACAGGTCAAGAATGTATGCATTTTCCGGGAAATTGGTTACACTTGACTAGAGGTGGCTAGATTTATGAATGAGCAAAATGGGGATGTTTTAATTTAGGTAAAATTGTGTGCGTGGAAAGTATGCTAGAACATGATTACTTTGCTATTTCGTAGTTGCCACACTTTTACCTCTTTCTATATCATTTGAATAATACGTTCAAAACATTCAGGTACTTTGGAGGAAGGTAAGGGTCTCACATGTGTGAGTTTCAATCTTACCTATTTCTGCACATAAACAGTTTGATGGTTGTGGTTCAGTTTTATTTCTTCCTCTGAAAAGAATATTTTTAAAAGATTTGAAAATTGTCTTTATATATATTTGTGATACCTTTGTGATAGAGAGAATTTGAGAGAGACACACACAGAGAAAGAGACAGAGAGAGAGCCCTCAGAGATCAGAGGCAATGAATCCTCTGGAGATAGAGTTATAGGCAATTGTGAGCCACTTAGCATGCATGCAGTGAAGCAAACTCAGGTCCTCTGCAGTAAGTGCTTTCCGCCACTGAGTCATCTCTCCCAGTTCTCTCTTAGGAGAATCTTAAATGCTCTGAAAAGTAAGTCTAGTAGGTTTGCAGGAGAATTATCACATAGGAAAAAGTGTTTTCTAAATATGGCATCATCTATGGCTATGTTGCTCTTTATGTAACTGATCTGCTGTAAAAGTAGCCCAAACATCAGTCGAGTTGGTTCTAATAAGGACGTCTCTTGAACTACATTAAAAAATCTCACCATAGAAATTATCTTTTTATGCTGAGGTACTTGTTAACAAATTAAGTGGAATTTATGGTCAATAGTAGATCTGACAGTCACGATAATTATACAAACTTTTGTTTGTGTCCCCTTCTCCTTGGTTTGTAACTGCTTTAACTGAAAAAGACAATCTTGTAAGCACTTTTTTTTCTTATTTTAGGGTCCTCTCGAAATACTAAGGTCACAAATTTTAGATAATAGA